TATTGTTGACTGTGGCCTTGAACAGCAGATAAACAGCCTAACTTTATCGAACTTCAAAATGCTTCAAAGGCATACTACTAATGTGAACTCACTTCTTAGTATAAAACTAAACTCACACCTCACTCACTCTCAGTGTCAGTCGTCACTCAGTCATCAATTTCAAGAGGCAATTTGCCATCAGGGCAGAGATGTTAAGAACATACTTTGGGCACAGACCAGTGAAGTTCTGAAAATGTCTGTGTAAAAGGATAGGTGATAAGACAATGCCTTTATGGCATCAGAGAATTAGGAGATAAATGTACTGTGTTTGGAAATTAGATGAATGTTTGACCGAATTGATCGTCTTTAAATTTCCTTTGAAATCAAATGGGTAATGCCTGTGTAGCAGTAGATAGGTGTTAAGATCATGCATGTGTAACATCATATTGGTGTTGAGATAATGCCTGTGTAGCAGTAGATAGGTGTTAACATAACACCTGTGCAACATTAGATAGGTGTTAAGATAATGCCTGACACATTGACACATAAATACATTAGGGATCAGTCACTTAATACAAGGGTAGTTGATCAGAGATGTTAGATAAACAAATATACTGAAAGTAGTTACCCTCCCATAATGCTTGTGATATGTTTGGATGTCCTTGTACATTTGTTTCATGGCTTTCCTTTAAAATGGAAAGCATATTATTTTATTATAAAATGTCCATTTTTCATGACGGTCCCCAAAATGTGTATTTTGTTTTAATGATCTGTCACATTTTTATTGACCCTCCCCTGATTCCCTCTGACCCCACCCACCCTGATAATAAGTGACCGGCCCCTAAAATATCTCAACAAATCCGCTATAACACAGACATTATTTGCACCCCTCCATACTAGGGATACTATGTCACAACCCCTTGCACATCAGTGAATTCAAGCATATAATGGAAACCAAACCCCAAATTTAAACAACTCTACATTTTACATGAGACAGATCGAAATGCTAATTTGTACTACCTTTCACATTTTTCAATACAAATGATCACTCAATATCAGGTATAATTTTTCATGATACTTTAAAAATTAATGTGTTATCCAACACACCTGTGGCATTTTATTTCCAAGCCTTGTATAATAACTGTTGGCCGCTACTGTATTCTCACACTGGTGTGTTTTATCACAGATGAATCAATATGCAATATGCAATGGAATTGGAATATGCAATGGTTCATGACTTTTGTGAGGTGATAAACTGCTGCACTACAGTATGCAGCTGACTGTTGCATCGCTTCGAAACCTGTGGGTTTGAATCCCAGTTTAACCGTTATTACGCTTTATGGTAGTCAAGGGGTGGTGGGGTAGCAGGTCATGCCGAAGACCAGGGTTCGATAGTCCCCACCTGTGTACGATGTGTGAAATCCATTTCTGGTGTCTCCCACTGATATTGCTGGAATATTGCTAAAAGAGGCATAAAACCTCACTCACTCACTCCCAAGCCTCACTCACTCACTCACTCACTCACTCACTTACTCACTCACTCAAGGTAGTCAACACCATATTCCTGCTTGAGCGTTTCTCAAAAGCGATAAATTATGTAAGATGTGCATCAAATTCTGGCTTTCCTGACACATCCTTCTGACTCAGCTTGAAATAACTGAAATACTGTTTAAATCCGAGTTACAACTACTGCATCCACTCATAATAGTCTATTCCATATCAAATAACATTTACTGCACTGCAACTCCTGAAATGATATGTACTGCTTTAATGTTTAAGACTATTTCTTAACGTTGGTGAATTTTTATAGTTCATTTTAACTTGTCGTAACTGTTTATAATTATAACGTAAACATTCCCTCTGGATTATGGTAGCCTTATCCTGTGGATTCACAGAATACATACAGGAAATCAAAAGAAATTTTAACACTAAGTCATAGCTATTCCTAGTGGTATACCTAATCTACCCCTGAGTTATCTCCCTTGATCCTGACGTCACTGTATTGTACTCCTAGAACCCTTCATAAATTTTACAGCTCATTTCAACTTGTCGTAGCTGTTTATTATTGATATTTCCTCATTTAGGAGATACACCTATGATTTTGAATTGAGAAATGTTTTAGATATGACATATATATATACTTTGAAACTGAATGTTTAATCAATATGAATTATTAAGAGCAATTAAATGTAGAAACAATTGACCCTAGTAAACTAAACATTTGACTGTGGCAACACTGCGAAATGCACACTTGGTAGTTCCTAGATCATGCATTTTGACACAGTACAGCTGTTGGTCATTTTTGTATTTAAATTTATATTTTTAAACTTGTGCTTTTTCTATTAATGTTTTATGCTGTATGATATATAAGAAATTGTCAAATAACAACCATAGCAAGAGCTGGACTTAGTTGTTTACAAGACAAGTAAAAAAACTAGACAACCTTTATGGATAACAACTTCTTTATTTCGTGAGTGTGACGTTTCAATACAGATTTTTGTCCCGTTGTCTTTGCCACTCAAAGAAGTTAAGACAAGTAACATTGTAAATTGACTTTAAAAGAAGGGATTTTATTTTTAACAATGACTTCAGTGATATTCTAACTACCTGTTGGCAGGAAGTAAAATATTTGGACTAGACAATCCTGTGATAGAAATTATGAGCATCGATTCACACAAATAGGTACTATGGCATGACCATCTGATCCATTTGGTGATGTCTTACTAGAAGTAGATCACTACAAGAAGAGAGCTAGCTTGCCTCAACTACATGTTTCACACAATAAATACATTGATCCCTACTACAATCGTTTCTGAATGAAATCCTACCCAACCCGAGTCAACCTTCATCACCCAGGGAGTAACACTATTAGTTGAGCGAGTCTCTGAAACTCATTGATTATTTTCTTGTGGTCATACACAGTTACATATTTCTCAACAGAAATTGAAATATCAGCACATATATCAATATGCCTGTCTCCCATATCTCATGATAGCAGCGAGACAATTCAATAAGAAAGATATCCCATCCCTGCACTGGGCCAGGCTAAGCATCATACACTCCGGCCTTAGGCCCTTTTCCACAAATCGCTTCATTACGGCCGCTCTAGCTCTAGTTGTGTCTTTTCATGCAAGCCAGCATGCGAGATCGTTATTGACAACTTCATAGCAGATGATATAATGAGAGGCTCCGTCGCGAAGACTTGCACCACTACAGCCTGTGGACTTTTACTTTAAACTCAGTAGTTTGATGTATTTATATCTGGAATTTTTCTTTGTCACTTTCTGGTTAATGTGTGCAGAATGTGAGGTGAATGTGCGATTCAGTAATGGGATATTATCAGGTTGAGTTGGATGTAGTGTGGACGTTCACAAGGGACGATGTCTGTGATAGCAATGATAATGCTTTTATACTTTGTATTAGTCAAATAATGTGTAAAGACACTGAACAAGGGTCATCTACCACTACTACTACTACAACCACCACCTCAGCTACTACTACTTCTGTTACTACTAATGCTACTACTTCTCCTACAACTACTACTACTGCTGCTACTGCTACTTCTACTTCCTAAATTATGTCATGCCTCATTTGTACACACACACACACACAAATGCTCCTTTTCCCCCTCCCCCTCCTCCTCCTACTCCTCCTACTACTACCACCACCACCACCACCACTACTACTACTAAAACTACTTGATGCCTCACTTGTGAGTGTGTGTATATTTATATACATATGAACCTGTACTTGCTATATGGTTGAAACTGATGTAAAGTTAAATTTTGAGTCATTCATTCACTCCTACTCATACTACTACTGCTGCTACTGCTACTACTACTACTACTACTACTACTACTACTACTACTACTACTACACTATTACTACAACAACTACTACTACAACTACTACTACTACTATTGCTACAACAACTACTACTACTACGGCGATGACGACTACTACTACTACTATTATGCAACTGCACCTACCTCCACTACAAAGGCCACTAGGGCCAAACAACCGACATCAGTACTTTCACCACTGTAGAATTCAGCTGAAGCCATCCATTCAGCTCTGCATCACCATATCTGGTTGTACACTGTTGTCACTATTGCTACACACAACTGTAATACTCTTGTCACCAGTACTGCTGACTGTAGTCTCCATTCTGTAACTTACACCCTCCCTTCCCTCACAAACAGAACCGGAACTGATAAATTATTTACACTGCTCGGCTTTGCTATAAAATCCATGATTTTCATCTTCAAAAGTCATTTTCCTCCACAAATTTTCTCGTACAATGCAGATTTAAACCATAACTGCTGAATTATTTTAATTACAGAAAGTTAACAGTTAAACTGTTACAATGAGCACATTTATATTCAAGCTCTTGGACACAGCCATGTGTGTTAAGGCATGAATGAGAAGAATACTACAACATCAATACTGTCAGGAAGATTTATTGTCGAAATTGTGGTTACCCAACCAATTGGCCCAATTGCAAACTCTAAAGTTAAGCTCCCTGACACTCAGTCATTTGAAGAATCCCCTGCCAGAATTCTAGGCCCCAGTTAAAAATGACCTGTGTCAGCTTGACACTTGAAATAATTGACAAACAAGTTCACACTATTCACACTACGACTATTTATAAAACATATAAATAACACCATGTGATGGTAAAATTATACTGAACCTTCGGACAGTCATGTGTCTCAGATCAAGAGGAGGGTTTAAATGTCAGTTATACATCAGTGATCGAACAGTGGTAGGAGTGCTTAGTTGTTTGTTACCTTCCCACTTGTTTCCGTCAAACCCACGTCCTTGTCCACATAACGTAACACTTCAGTGAGAGCATTTTTCATTGTGATAGCACACAGTGTCTACCCAAAGAAGACCTGGATAATAAACTCATTGATTTCCACAAGCAGCATACAGTAAAGCAGGGTGCCAAGGGACCCATGCCCAACGCAGAGAACCCAATGCGTGATTCCTATTGATTGATAGAAGCAATGGACAGACAGGGAGTAAGACGCTCTGCCGCGAGACGACTCCACTCCGCTAGACTACTCAACTGATAGACCACTCTACCACCAAACTCTGTCGAAGTCTGTCACGTGTGTTTGGCACAGAGGTCTAACATAGCCGGCTTCCCGAGTGGAGATAGTCCATTGTAATGCGTGTTGCCAGTTTGTAACAATACTTGGCAGCTTATGCTCTGCATCGGAGTGTGAGCTATCAATGACTTGATAGGTAACCAGTGCTACAGCATGTCTCTCTGTTGGTCCTGTGTCAAGTTAGTGTTGGTTAATCCCCTTCTCTGGATTTAGCTGCAACCGGACAAGTTATCCCAGGTTTGTAAAGTTGTCTGTGTGTTGTAACTTTTGGATTTACTCTGCAGTCGTCAAAGGAGGAAGGTTCGTATGTTTGACATCACAACTTTTGTAGAAGCACTTTGGTAGGATACTGTATAACATTTTTCATGACTTTACCTGTTTGATAGTAATGGAAACAGATGTATTTTATAAATATTAGGAAGGCTAGTCAATAAATGGGTATTGATTTTGATCGGAGATGTTTGTTGATTTTAACAAATTTCAGCTATACTGTAATGAAGGGATCGGATGGCATTGTCGCAATGAAGAGCAGGGTTATGTAAGGAACTCTTGTAAATTGGATTTTAACAACCAATGGCTAACAGCTGTTCTGGGGCTAGTTGTTAAACTAGTTTGCTGTTAACACACCAGTAGTAGTTTGTGGCGACAGTTTTAGGATAGTCTGCTGTAGGGGAAAGGTTGCCTGTCCATTCCTGATTAGAAAAAAGCTTTTACACAGGATATTGGTTTTCAAATGGGACTTTGTCACTTGACAGTTGTTAAGCTATTTTTTGCATGTTGTCGTAACAAGGTAGTAAGATGCTTGGTATGTTTAGTTAATGTACCATGGTTCAAATTTGGAAATGTTCAAATGAATGGGTGTTTTCTTTCTTGTGTATTTCATTGTTATATGCCAGTCTTATGGGAGAGATAAATGTTCAACAATATTGTGTAGTTCTGATCATGAGCTACATAGCCATATTTTACAGAAAGTTTAAATTATGTGGAAAGAATTTTTTCAGTAATGAGATTTTACATTTAATTGGTTTCTAGCATATTTTGGTATAAGTTATGAATAGTTAAGTTTGTTTGCAGTTTTCTTTAATCATTTTCTTTAATCATTTTCTGATCATTAAATGGAGATTGGTGGTGAAGAGATTTCAAGTGCTAACATTTCCTGTAAAGAAGTTTTGGTAGCAGAATAACCTTTATATTAAGGTATTGCTTATAAGCATCAAGAGAATTCCTTTTATGACATTTGCAAGTAAGAGGCTTTGAAGGTTATATTGCAAAACCATGCATTTTTATAAAGCATTCATTACTGATGAATGTTAATATTTGAAGTATAAATAGTGAAAGGTCATATACGGAATGCTTGACATTAACCATCTGATGAAGAAAAGAAAGATGTGATGTTTTAAGTACAGGTTTTCCATTTCTATAATAAACATTTGTGAAAGGCATCACTGCTTTTTATTTTCACTGTAAAATGATGTATATTTTCACTGCTTTTCATTAACAAGCTAGATGTTAAGGGATTCATAATTTGCTATGCATATTCACAAACTACTGATAATATCTTTTCCCATTCAAATCTAATGAGCATAATGGGCAACTTTCAGAGTTAGAAAGTGCAAAATTCCATGGAAGTCTGAACTGTTTTGTAGGTCATTTTTTGTCACGATGTAATTGTTCGGGAGTGAACAATTTATTTGATTCTAATCTCATCTGAGCATTTTCTAAACAATTTCAGATCCAATGTTCGGTTGAATTTAAATGTGTTGCGTATGATCATAATGTGATACTTGATATTTGTTTCAAATGAATCTGGGTTTATATTTTTGTTGTTCTGGTGGTAAAATCAATATATATATATATATATATATATATATGTAACACTTCAGTGACTGGCACTGCATTGTGGTGTGGTCGACATACTTTAATGCATATTTCTCTCTCTCTCCAACTATGAGGCTGTGGATACCTATACCTCTGGACCTCTACAACACTGGTATCAGAACATTCCAGATAGGTTTTTTCACGTTGTCTAGAAAAAGAAGTGGGAACATATATGAAAAACGTCTTTCCACTGCACAGTTAAAGTGAGATTATGTTTTACATCATCTGTCAGGACTGATTTTATGATCACGCTTTTTTGTCCTTTTTGTCGAAGTCATGGCTTTATGTAAGATCGATATATGGCTTGACTTGTACCTGCTTACAAATCACATGTGGTATTTCTCTGTAAAGTAAGCTGTCTCCATACATAATGACTAGCAATGTGCAAAACATGCCATAAATTTTTCCATTGTAAGAGCAACTTAAGCGACAGTTTGGTGTGAGTCTCATGTACATAGTATGGTACTACTACTCAAAAACTTTAAGCATCATCTGACTCTTTCATATCGCTATAGTTAACCTGTCATGATAAAAGTGGCCCTTAACGCTAGCCTATTTCTTTTTTTATATATTGAAATATTGAATTGTTATGGACAGTTGTTCAATACAAACAGAATTTATCAAGAAATATCTGTTTTCAAATGTTGGTTGAGCAATAACTGTTTTTCAATATTTGTCAGGCCATATCAGTTTGGAAATGTTGTCATAGCAATATGTGTTTGGTAATAACAGTGTAGCAATATGTCTGGGGCAGAATCGGTTTAGTAATATTCAAAGCAATATCTGTTTTGCAGTATTTCTCTTGAAATATCTGTTTTGTAGTATTTCTCTTGAAATATCTGTTTAGCAGTATTTCTCTTGAAATATCTGTTTTGCAGTATTTCTCATGAAATATCTGTTTAGCAGTATTTCTCTTGAAATATCTGTTTTGCAGTATTTCTCTTGAAATATCTGTTTAGCAGTATTTCTCTTGAAATATCTGTTTAGCAGTATTTCTCTTGGAATATCTGTTTTGCAGTATTTCTCTTGAAATATCTGTTTTGCAGTATTTCTCTTGAAATATCTGTTTTGCAGTATTTCTTCAGAGATATCAGTTTAGCAATGTTGATCATGCAATATTTGTTCTTCAGTATTTCTCTTGAAATATCTGTTTTGCAGTATTTCTTCAGAGAGATCAGTTCAGCAATGTTTGTCAAGCAATATTTGTTTCCCAGTATTTGTCTTGAAATATCTGTTTCACATTATTTCTCTTGATATATCATTTTAGCAATATTGGTCAATCAATATTTGTCCTTATGTCTGTTTAGTCACATCTGGGCAATATCTGTTCATAGTATCCTATCAGCAGTATCTGTCTGTCTGTATCACCTCTTGTTACAGTGTCATATGGTCTATTTGATGTATGAGTAATGGTCTACCTTTATCTTGCATACTTAATTTGTCTGGACAAGATCCCCTTGCTGTTCCCTTAAGAACAGAACTACTCATTATCTTGACACTACAAGTCATAATCTGTCAAACTCATGTCTCTTGTAGCAGCTGGGTCTGCTGAAATAACATGAATTATTCCTACACACATTCATTCATAATTTGTGAAAATGTTTTTGTTTTTTTTGTGAAATTTGATATGTTTGCAAAATGGGCCATATTCATAAAGTGAATGCAGCTTGAATGCCGAGTTGTTTGTCATCTCACACTATGAATATATTTATAAGTCACCTTATAGATTTAAAGGTGTGATCTTTGAAATAGCTCGACATTCCTTATTTTGTTACTATTCTTACTGATACTGCCTCTCCCACATCCAAGTGTGCTGCCCGCTCCTTATACAGCTATCTAATTTGGCAGTTTCTCCAGTACTGATTCACCACACACTCATTAGTATACCCCAATACATGCCCCATTACAATCCAGTCTATCTGAACCCAGGCAGCGTGTTCAGGCTCCCTCTAACATATCCATGCGGGTCCTTGTCCTCAAACATCTTGCCAGCTTCAAGCTCTCTCACACCAGATCAGTCATTCTTGTTCTTTCTTTCCTTTTGTTGATATATCTCCCTCCTCCTTTTCTTTCCTTACTCTCCCTCCCATTCATTCTCTGATTCTTCTGATGTCTTCTTTTCCCACCCTTTACTGTTTGAACTCACGCTCTATTGAAATCTCTCTCACACACCTCTCACACACCTCCCCCCTCCCTCCCTCTCTCTCTTTCCCTCCCTACCTCCCTCCCTCTCTCTCTCTCTTTCTCTCTCCCAGTCTATGTGCTCTGTCTGTGTGCCTGCCTGCCTGCCTCCCTATCTTTCTCTTTCCCTCCCTCCTTTTCACTCTCTCTCCCTCTATTGCCGATGTGACGTTAAATTTTAACTCACTCACTCTCTCTCCCTCTCTCTCTCTCTCTCCATATTGATATTAACTCCTCACTTTATCCCTAACCTTTTCATTTTCCTCTTCCTCTTCTGCTGACTCTCACTCTATCACTTTCACACTCCCTGACTTTACGCTCCCCCTTCCCCCATCACCAGTGTGTGCACTGCTCCACCGTGGTAGGCAGCCCTGCTAACAGCAGACCCTGTGACACTGCAATACTTTATGCATGTTGCAGACAGATGGATGGCATTCACGGTGTTTCACTTCAGGGCACTCTTGTCAGACTTACTTGGTACAAGAGTCAACAAACTTGAAATCATCTGAAAGTCTGTGTGATTAGAATTTGTAATTTGCATTGTGATGTGTTAATTTACTTGATGGACAGCATAACTAGACCTGTCACATTATTATGATGTGTTAATCTAGGTTATGGACAACACAACTAGACCTGTCACATTATTATGATGTGTTAATCTAGGTTATGGACAACACAACTAGACCTGTCAAGTTGTTAGGATGTGTTAATCTAGGTTATGGACAACGCAACTATATCCGTCAACGATGTGTTAATCTTGGTGACAGACAACATAACCAGACTGGGCGTATTATTTTGATGTGTATTCTAGGTGATTGTTAACATGACCTGACCAGTCACATTATTGCAGTGTGTTAATCTAGGTGACAGACAACATGATTAGACCTGTCACATTATAACAGAGTGTTAATCTGGGTGGCAGACAACATAACCAGCCCTGGCATATCATTTCGTTGTGTATTCTAGGTGATTTGTTAGTATGACTAGACCGGTTACGATGTGTTAATCTAGGTGTTGGACAACATGATTAGACCTGTCACATTATCACAGAGTGTTAATCTAGGTGACAGACAACATAACCAGATCGATCACATTATTACGATGTGTTACTCTAGGTGACGGACAACTAGACTTGACCTGTCTTATTATCACAGAACAAGACTCCAGGTGATGGACAA